TTTACAGGGTTTTTCCTAATCATGCTGCATGAGTTAGATTTTTTTTTTGTGGTACTAGTATATTAGAGGTCTCAAGGAGCCCTCAAGATTCAAACCCTTGTTTTACTATACTCACTGATTTCACCTGTAAAAGGGAAGTCAACTTTCCTTTTTAAAATCTAAAGTGGGGTTGGATTTTATCCATATCTATGAAGGTTTGTGAACATACAGAGCTGGATGCCTAGTAGGTAGCTTAAAAGCTGCTACATCCTTTTATAAAAGGATGTAAAAAATATAAGTAAGAACATCTGAAGTGGTAAAGGACCCCAGGGAAGAGGTGGTTAGATGTCAAGTGAATACATGGCTGGGAAAGGCTGGGGTGATCAAGAAAGGAAAGAATAAGGCCTCCTTGGTGGCCTAAGAGGCTAAGTCTCAGCACTATCACTTCTAAGGCCTGAGTTTGATACCTGGCCAGGTAGCTGATCCACAATGCACAGCAGACCTCTCCTGTTTCACCCCCTTGCTCCCCTCAGCAGTGTATTTCGGTCTGTCTAGCTGTTCTGCTCCACACTCTGTCTCTGGCAAATTCTCTTTTATCCCCTGAACCTCTGGCCTACATCCAGTTGTTCTACACAAAAACAAACAAATAAACAAAAAAAAAGTGTGGCTCAATTTAAAAAAAAGGATGTGCTCTTAGGAAGGATGAAGTAGGGGATAAGGAGTCACTACTGATGCAGACAGGGTCCCTTTGTGGACAGGGGAGAAGAAAATGCTTTGAAGTTAGTGCTTCTGCTTGCACCATACACTAAAAGCCATCTGTACTGTTTTAAAAGGCAAATTTTAATGGCATGTGTATTATATCTCAATAACAATGTTATTGTTTAAAAGGATGCAAAAAATATAAGAACATTTGAAGTGGTAATGGGAAAGAACATTTGAAGTGGTAATGAGGGGTTTTCAAATTTTTTTTTAAAAAATAAGCAAGGAAAAACCGGGGGAAAAGCCAAAAGACGGGGGGAGGGTGAGAAGACTCACCAGACACAGAGTGGGGAGCAGAACAGTCAGATGTACTGAAATACAATGACGAGGGGAGCAGTGGGTGAGACAGAAGTCTGCCAAGCCGTGTAGGTAGCTCCTTGGCTGGGGACCAAACTCTTGCTGCAGTGGCTGCAGATAGCTTTATAGTACTATGCCTTAATCCCTTGAGCCATCAGGGAGGGCCCATGATTTTCACTTCTCTGGTGGGGTAGAGAATCTCTAGATGGATCTACAGGATGATTTAGGGAGGCTTTCTGATAAATTCTACACTTTTAATTCCCATCATACCTTCTAATGTTTCTTTGCTGTAAGAGACTCTCCTTTACTTCTTGGGCTGAAGTATTAGTGAAACTCAGAATTTTTCGTAACGTTAGTGGATAGCTTTTCAGTACCTGCATTTTTTCACCTGGGTTTTAAGACATTTTCATAATCACTATTCCCAAACTGCCTTGACAGTTACTGTTTCAACACAAACCACCACAGGCACAATCATGTAGGCTTCTAATTTATTATTAAATTACATAACAAAGCTTCTTCTGTACAGTCAGAAAATGCATATTTAGATGAGAACAAAAACTAAGTACAAATACAACAAAAAAGTTTGGTCCAAATTCAAGTTCCAAAGAAGCCATTTTAAAAACAAACAATTCTAGAAAGTGCATTTGGAATAGATTTTTTAAAATACGTATTGGCATTTTTCATGAGGAAACATCGTCCATCATGTCAAAGTATGATTAGAATTGACTTCCCTCCCTCTCATAAGAGCTAATAGGATGGGAATGGGCATAGATCCTATGATACTAAAATGAGACCTTAGGTACAAAAAAAAAAAAAAAAAAAAAAGACAGCGTCCCTCAAGACATGGCCCAGCTTTATCTTCAATTCTTATCCAATAAATATCCTTAAGATTTACTTGTCATTTTCTTTTCCCCTATAAAACTTAAGGTATGCACAGGCTTATGTGAATAAACAAGATTAGTTTATAAAGACCATGCTGAAAAGCTCTGCATCTTTTTGCAGACCAGGCTGAACAACCCCTAGTCCCAAAGGAGAATGGTAAGCAATAATTTTAATTTTCTAAGAATTCCGCTGCTTTTTCTAAGAATTCCATTACCTTTCCCCACAAAATTCAGTGAAAGTAGTCAATTGCCAAGAATGTACCCCTGACTAATGATCAAATGTGTAAACCTAAAAGCTAGTACAATCCTTCAAAGTCCTTACCAGGTTGGGGTAAACAGTGAAAGAGAAAATAAATGGTGGGGATGTAAGTCCAAGGTGTCTTGACTACACAGAGGCATCCGATGACCCAATGAGTGTATTTTCCTAATCAGATGTAGCCAGCTTCTAAATGGAAAGAACCAAAATAAATATTTGGTTCCAGGTACAAAAAGGACCCTGCTGAATGTCTGCACCTTATTCCTTCCTCAGGATTTTGCTCCCATGCCTCATCTGGGCACTGGGCAGTATGGAAAAGGAATTTTCTGTAAAAGCAAATTTTGTAAAAGTGGAAAAGGAAAGCCCCTTTATAACATTAGAAAAGTAAAGCAAGCAATGCAGATTACAGGGATTCCTTCATCATCATCATCTTCAAAAATAAGATTAATAATAAAAAAAGTGCCGAGATAGAATGGATCAGCTAAAGCACTTGGATACCTGGGCTTGAACTTGAGTAGATTTATTAAATATTTTCCTCTACAGTTATCAGCACACATTAAAGTGAAACCTCATAGGTATACCTCTTGGAATCTTCTGTACTTTTTGTTGCCATGGTTTTAAAAACTTTTTAGTGAAATAGTTTTGAGGCTACAAACATAAGACCACGACATAGGGAGAACTATTTCCCCTAAGAACAACATTTGGGAGTAGATATAGAAAATTCCTCTGACTTCCCAATCTCTGACGCACAAGCGACTTACTGTTGGCCCCTGTGCCTAGCCAGAAAAAAAAAGGGAAGAAAATAAAAATGACTGAAAAAAAAAAATCACATGGCACATTACTGCAAGAGTTCAAACCATCTATCAAAGGATCTAAACTGAGCCTCTACTTCTACATGGCACATAATACACTTCTATTTCCTTGCCCCAGGTTTCTTTCTGCTAGCGAAGGAACCAGAAAAGCATAGGACAAGCAAGCACTGTCCTAGGCTACAGTGCTGATTAGTAAGATCTATCTGACACCAACATGTACACCACATTTTTTCAGCTTCCTCAGAAGAACAAGTTTATTTTCACAAAGAAAATAACCAACATAATTCTGTTATTTCATTTAAGCATAATTTTAATGGAAAGGCCCATCAACCATCAAAAGTATGTGTGTGATTAGTCGCAGCAAGCTAGATTAGCCTGTGTCCTAGTTTTATTCTCACACAATCAGCTTTAATAAATGCACCAAATAATCAGACCAGTAAAAAAGACTGGTAGTATAATTAAATAAATAACTTTATTTATGTTACTTCAGATTTTATAAATGCCAACTATATAGCAACCAAAGTCCCATACATTCTAGCTGAGGCACAACCATCAATCAAGGCCCTTTGAAAAATCAAAGATAATAAAGTGTCAGGGGAGAGAAGTTTTGTTCTCCCAAGAGACTTCGACAAACGAACTTACTTCCCTGATCCTTTGAGGTTTATATTGGGAAAACTAAACTTTCTTTTAAGGGTGCCACCAATCATTAATTGATCAATCAACCCATATTTAGAAAAATAATCCCCAGAATTAAAAAAAAAAATCAAATGCCCTCACACCCAGCACATAATAAAAATTTGACACCAGAATACAAAAATCTCAGTCTGTACCAGAACAGGGGTTAGTCTACCCACCAGCCTAAATATTGAGTCATCTGAAGCATAGACACATTATGACATAGTTAACATCTACATGCTATTATCTTTCATTTCCTGTAGTACAACTGGAAGCCAATATTACAAATACCATAGTAAGTTCCAATGGTGAAGAGCAATCTTCCTTCTTGCTGAGGAGTACAGATATTGGAAGTTTTCAAACTACTTGTAGTTCATTTAGATAAGAATTTATAGAAACAGAGATATGATTAAACTTGAAACAAATTATGGTGGGTGATTTAAACTGTTGACACTCTCCAGGGATGACAACAAAAGACAGATGCAGACAGTGATAAAATTCTGTCACAAGCACCTTCAATGGTGAAACCATTCTCTGGATATCTGGAAAGCTTAGGAGGTTCGGAATGAATAGAATTTTATAAAATACAGACTCCCTGGTGGACACAGTAGTTCTTAAATTTTTGCCCTTAAATTATGGAGCATTTACAAATGGAATTATCTGGATGGTAGCCCCTTTATATCTTCTCACGCATGGCTTGTTAACTAGATCTCATGGAAAACTGAGCAGTCCTCTCAGTGAGTTACCAGTGTTAATCCTGACATGATGAGAAATATTTAGGAGCATTGATTCTGGCATTAGTTTCTTTTGTCATGGTAGAACTGACATTTCATTTTCTCGAATAGCAATATTATCCCAATGGAAGAAATAAACAAAAAATCAGAAACAATGGCTGTCTCCTTTTCAAAAGGCCCATCATTCTTGACTTAATGTAGTTAACCCCAGGGTGCACACAAATTCAAAATCTTTTTTTCAGTGTCTGTCTTGTTTTATACAACCCTATCAGCATCTTCAACAATCATAAGAAATGGAATTTTCTTTGAATACCAAAAGAGCTGGGGAAACAGTAGAAATTTATAGCACAGATTATCAAGAAATGACTAGTGATTTCTCATCATGAGTGTAAAATAAAAGGATGAACTATTTTTACTCACAACCCAATCTAGTGGAAAGGAAAGCAGTCTTTGGATACAGGGAAACCTGATTTTTTGAAAAGCTTAGCCATCAGACTTTGTTTGTCAACAACCTTCAAACACTGTCACTGACACACAGAAACTCAGCTTCTGACTGGTTTACTTACCTCCTGGGGAGACAAAAGCAACTGAAAACATTTTTCTTTTCAACTAAACACAGAAGGAAATGTGTGTTAGGAAAGACAGCTCAGGAAAACTGGCTTCAGCTGAACCTGACCATGTCACAGAATACATCACTATCAGTCTTGAGTTAATCCTGCTGGTCAGGCTAGTTATGAGGACAACTTCTCCTTTCTACTTTTCCTTATTCCAGATCAGGGTGTGAAAGAATGGTTGTCAAGAGTCTCTGGAGATGTTCCATCAATGGAAAGCATACAGCAGTAATAGGATGGTACAGACACCAATAACACCACCCAAGATGAGGGAGTCTCGCCGCTTCCGGAGATTGATCCGTTGGATGAGGCTGTTCACAGCAGGAAAGCGATCTTTGAGAAATCTTTATTAAGGTCATATTTGGAAGAAGCCTCTTCAGTGAAAAGTCACAGGAATTACAAAAATAGAGATCAGTGGGCTCCAGAAATGAAATGATGAGATAAAAGAGGGAAAGAAAATTTGACTGAGAAAGTCTTGGGCACACATGTCAAAATTAGGAATGCTCTACTGCTCAAGGTCACAAATTCACCCCAGTACACTGCAATACACAAATAAAAAATAAAAATAGAGAGGAGGAAGAAGGAACAATATGGATGGGTACTGGTATGAGGAGATTAGTGCAAAGCTTCAGGGAGCCACTGTGGTCAGGAACAAAGGAACCCTGCAGAGTAGGGAGGTACAGGTGTTTGTGTGTGTGTGTGTGTGCGCGCGTGCGTGTGTGTGTGTGTGTGTGTGTATACACAAAGGTATAGAGACCTAACACCACCTCTTGCTCTCAACTCTTGTCTATAGGAGATTAAGAAGTTTTGCCATAAGAGTTTCAAGAAGCATCTGATTTCCCAGAGTGATAGGGTTCTCATGCATTCAGACAATAAGAATCAACTCTAGGATCTGTTAAAAAAAAAAAAAAAAGGGG